GTGGTTGAGAATGCGTGTCGGCAAGTCGCGATGTGAGACGGCAATGCAATATTTTCATAGTTTTGGCTGATCACGTTTCTGTTTAAAATGTTTAGAGCACATATAAAGAATGGTAGCTTGTTTTTATTTTAATTTCGGCGGAAGAATGTGGTAACATGTTACCTGACCACCGGACAGGGAAGTTTGAAATTCAACCAGTCCGATACGAAAGTTACCCGTCTCGGGCGTGCGGACGGGCAGGAATTTCTACACTGCTAATGAAAATAAATTATTGCTTTAACCATAGAGGGTCTATGTTTTAACAGAAATTGTGTTGTCTAACTTCCAGAAGGACTAATTGTCTGTGTTTACTCAGGAAATATAATTTATTTATTTGTTTTTCTAGAGTACAGATTCCATTAATTAAAATGTTATCAAGAGGATCACAATTATGTAAAGAAGATACAAACAGGATTTTACCGTTGTTATCATTATTTTGTTCCTTATTTCAACAAGCACTTATTACATTACATGACGCAGAGTTCTATGGAGGTTCGGGTGAGTTTACAGTTATTGTTCACAATTTGGTTCACAATCACAGCAGCCCATGAATGTCACTGACAACAAACTTTGTATGCAAACACTGAAATTCATAAAGATAGAACCTGTTTTTTTTATAAAATATGAAAACGCTGACCTTCTTGAACTAAATGTACAATATTAAATGTCTCCACTAGGTAGCGACAGTGAAAGTCTAATGCCATTTGAGATTTCTGAACTAATACCAATGAGTTTAACATTAAGAGATGCGTGTATTGGAATGATAGAACTAGCACATCCTGAGACAAAGCCGAGCATTACAGAGGATTATAGGCATGCTATGTCAAGTGTTGGTGCCCGTCATAATGCTACGTCTGCTCAGGAGCTACAAAAACAAACGCAAAATTGGGCGCATGTTTTTAGGGTAAGTGTTCTGATAGTAAATGTCTGATAGTCTGTGTACATATGTCTGATAGTCTGTGTACATATATCTGATAGTCTGTGTACATATGTCTGATAGTCTGTGTACATATGTCTGATAGTCTGTGTACACATGTCTGATAGTCTGTGTACATATGTCTGATAGTCTGTGTACATATGTCCGATAATCTGTGTACACATGTCCGATAGTCTGTGTACACATGTCCGATAGTCTGTGTACATATGTCCGATAGTCTGTGTACATATGTCCGATAGTCTGTGTACATATGTCCGATAGTCTGTGTACACATGTCCGATAGTCTGTGTACACATGTCCGATAGTCGGTGTACACATGTCTGATAGTCTGTGTACACATGTCTGATAGTCTGTGTACATATGTCTGATAGTCTGTGTACATATGTCTGATAGTCTGTGTACACATGTCTGATAGTCTGTGTACACGTGTCTGATAGTCTGTGTACACGTGTCTGATAGTCTGTGTACATATGTCTGATAGTCTGTGTACATATGTCTGATAGTCTGTGTACAAATGTCTGATAGTCTGCGTACTGATGTCTTATAGTCTGTGTACACGTGTCTGATAGTCGGTGTACATATGTCTGATAGTCTGTGTACATATGTCTGATAGTCTGTGTACATATGTCTGATAGTCTGCGTACTGATGTCTTATAGTCTGCGTACACGTGTCTGATAGTCTGTGTACACGTGTCTGATAGTCTGTGTACACGTGTCTGATAGTCTGTGTACTTGTGTCTGATGGTTGATATTGCATGTACATACTTGGGGAAAAAGGTGTTCTATTGAGTAGGAGCGATAAAAACTTTCCAACCTTTGTGCTGTTCCTGTCTAAGGTGCATTTCAAGGAACCCGGCATCTTACCATAGAAAGTAGATTACCATGTGCTTGTTGATGTGAAATAAACAACTTTTTAATTTGTATTCAGGTGACCACACATTTAGTGAAGCAGTTACATGAACGAGATATTAGACGACAGTTCTGTCCTAATGACCACTGGTTGTCTAAGTATATCAGCATAAGTGCTGACAAGGTAAGTTTGGAATTCTTGGTCACTATGACTAACAAACTGATTTTCATTCACCATTTCTTAAAGTTCATATAGTCAGCTACATATTGTTTTGAGTAACAAAAAGGCAAATCTGAAAGTTACAACGTTCTTAAGCTACTCTGATTGTAACATGTTATATTTCACTGTTTATTACTTTCTTCATTACAATAAATCCCATCATGCATAGCAGTGAACAATTAATGGTTTAACCTTTTCACCACAAGACTTTCTTGTCCAAATTTGTTGGCACTTTTTTTGTATCCTTCAATATTTCTGGAAATAAACCCTAATTTTGAAGACAAAATTTGAGTAAATTTTCAGTTTTTACTCAAAAAATTTGATAATTTTTGTCCCAATCTTCATAAGCAAAGTGCATACTATAAACAGAACTATTTTGTGAATGTGTGATGAGGCTAATGAGGCTGATGACATTTCTGTCATAGATGTACATGAGTTTTAATGTTACTGTGTTTGCTTTATTACGTAAATGTCAGTGGTGTTTCCATGGTCAAATGAGTACTAAACATTACGCCATGAATACGTTTGATTAGAACAAACAATAGTGACAGACATGTGTATAACTACTGTGGTGTTGAAATAATTTATCAAGGACTTTGTTCTGGAAATAATCTTCTTTGGCATTCACAACAGTGCAGTCAGGTTGAAATTAACGTTATCATCTGTACGCGTTTTTCATCTGCTGCATGCACTGAATAATTTTCTCAAATTATGTCAGTTCTATTCTTAGTAAGATTTGGTAATCATGGCTATTACACTGTATAACAAAAATACATTATAACTTTGTTTTAACTCTGTAGTCCAGTAAAGTACATCGGGGACACCATGCTGGTTTTGCTAGAATGAGTAGTTTGAGACTGTCTAATAGACTGTGGTCGTTACGCCATGCAATGGCACCTGTAAGCAGCAGGATGACTGCAGATGATGAACCACCAATGACTACAACTGAAGCCAGACAACTTACTATACTCACAGAACTACCATTTGTAGTACCATTTGAAGAAAGAGTCAAGGTAATAGAAGTTTTGGCTTTCACGGCGAGTTGCCTGGTATTACTTTGCAAAGCACAAAAAAAAAATTGCTCGGGAAGGGCTGGTATAACTTGTCATTAATGAATTTGTTTGCCTCAGGTTTTCACTAGTTGAAAGTACATATTTCCATATTTTACAAACATTTCTTAAGATAACTGGATGCCTATAATACTACCGGTAAATAAACTTGGCCGTCATTGTGAATAGGCATACACATGTGAATAGGCATACACATGTTGCTCTGTAAAACAACCCATGGAATCAAATTAAGAAACATCTTGTTT